TGGCCACGGAGTTTAACACTTTGCAGAGCTGAGCCTTTTTGGTTCAATCACTTGTAAGAGGTCTCAGGTACTTGGAAATCCTTCCACAGGCAAATAGACAACTTAAAGGCCTGCACATTTCTGATAAGAATGCAACAGGCACCTTTTGCCCTATTTTGCTGTCCACTTTAGTTTGCTGTCCAGATTGTGAATATCACTGCTTTATATTCTCTTAGTAATAAGAGGAGATGAAAATAAGAAACAGAAGAAAAACAGATCTTGTGCAACCATAGGGCTGAAATGAAGACAAGATGACAAGAGAAGCTCTGATCCATCAAAATATTCAATGCATGTGGCTACCTTTTCACAAGAAGTGCTTAGGGCACTGGCTAATTTTCCATGATGGACACTTCAACAAGTGCTTGGCTGAATTCTGTCTGTGAAAAGAGATGGAGAAAGCAGAGGAAAATGTAAATCCAATATATATGACCAAAACACAGTGCTGCTTTCTTCTTGCCAGACTAGAGGTTAAATTTGTTTCTAGGGACTGGTACATAACATACATTTTTTCCTTTCACTAGAAAAAAGTTAGGTTTAGTGTTGAGGGTTTTTTTATTTCCTTGGGGGGAAAAACACAACAACAACATCGTGGGCTTGAATTACAGCTGGTGAACTCAAATAATTTCTGCAGCCCCCAAAATAGTTGGAGAGGTCAATGAAACCACAAACTCCATGGGGCTCATCCATTTCTGAACACAGCTTTCTTGAGCCAGAGGCAAACTGCCTCTTTGCTTACCAAAGTGGTATTTTTCTAATTTGTTACTAGTAAATGCTTGCAGGGATAAAAAAAAAATCAAACCAAGGACCAAATCCAGCACACCAAGAGCAGCAAAAGCCACTGAAACTCTGTGCTAGCATCAGCAAATCAGTGTTCATTTCCCCTGTTGTGGCGATATCAGAAAGAACTAAGCCTTTCTGGGTCAAATTTTGCTGTTGTTTCACTGGCATAAATGATGCTTCTAAAGCTGAGGGAATTGTTGGCTGACCGACTGACCTGGTGGACTTGAGGCAGAATTCAGGTCTCCTCGACCTGATCAGAGCAGAGGAACTTGTCCTAGGCACACTGCTAAGACATACCAACCCATCGTTTAACCATATTGAGAAATAGCAAAATAGGCTTCCCTATCATTTTTCACCTAGCTCAGATTTGATCAGAGATATAAAATACAGAAAGACACGAACACCCATTCTGGCTAAGTTTCCGAAATGTCGTTCGCACAATGTTTACCTCATGAAAAACGATCCTGCCTCTATCTTTGTACTTTATCTGTGGCGCCCTGTCTCTTCGCATACTTACACTCACCATCGCAGCTTCCAAGCATTCTCCTCTAATTAATCAAAAACCCCATCCTTTTGTTTCCTAGGTCACGAAGGAAGAACAGTAAATTAAATAAAGATACCGGCTGCGAATGGAAGCTGGATTTCTATCCAAGGAACCTAATAATAGCGCCATGATAAAGGTGAAGTCAAAATTGATATGTTTTTATATACAGAGAGGCAAACAGTTGAGTGTGAAGAAAGTAAACATGAGATAGCATTTAAGCAGCGGTTTTTCTAGCTCATTCTGTGTTTGTAAATACAGAAGTGTGTTCTGGTGGCTAAATTTATCCTAATGTAAGGAAACACGAACAAAGAGGCTGGTATTTGGTAACTTCTATAGGCAACATTAGGACATCCTGCGTGAATTATTTTGGGCCAGTTCATGATAACATGGTACAGATTAGGGTTGCCATTTCTGGAAAAATTAGGTCAGAAATATGTAGATAAGATGGAAAGAATTTCAGTAGCATTGTAGTATTTTCCTGACTTGAAGCCTGACTCACATGTTGAAGCCTTGTTTTATTGTAAACCTTGTTTTGATATATAGTCAAAATGGACATTTTCCAGAGGAAATAAAAATAAGCCACCTGACCAAGAAAGAATTACATGCAGCATTGAATAAAAGCAAGTACAGAAGGTTTCATTTCAGAGAGGAATAGTTATTTTTTCCTGTGAAACTTTTCGCAATTTCAGAAATGACCATGCCAGAACTGGGAGAAATCAGAGGAAGGCAATGAAATTTGGTAACAGCGCCTTTCCTTGCTCTTGGCCTGAGCTGGAATTTCAGCCGTACATCAGGTATGTTTTGGGACTGTTAGGAGTACAGCCACTGTGGAAGTTGGTGGCCCTCTTCTCTATATGCTTCCCTTCATCCTTCTCAAATTTCATCCTGGATTAGAAAAATCTCTTGGCTAAAAAGGAGATAGATCTTGCCCATGAAAGGTTTACTTTTTAAGAGAAAAAGTGAGATTAGGTCTAGCTAGAAGAAAGAGAGGCCTGACTTTGCAGCCTTGCCTCTGCAGTCAGCACAATGTTTCCATTGGCCTCAGGTGGAGTAGTTTTTCTCTCAGGTCGTTTATTATAAGTAAGAATGTACTTTTGCACTGCTCTGTGTCTAGTGCCATAAATCCCAGCACATACCATGCCTCTTTTTTTTTCACTGGGATTTCTGGCCTGAGCTATTGAAGCTCAGTCTGCTATGGAGATCGCTTTGAGAAGGAGCAAACCTCTAGGACAGAGCCTGGTACTTATATGTGAGCCAGCCTTGAGATAAAATCCTTCATGTTCCCTTTTGCTTATTCAGTGAGACAAACAGAGTGTTGAATTCTGGTTTTCGGTCCAGCTCATTAATGCAAGACAGGGTAAACTGCAGATTATGCTCCTATGCCAAAAGGTAAATAGCGTGGGGTCAGGGCTCCTGGAGCAGGCTGGGCGAAACTCGCTCTTCCCAAAGCCTGTAAGTCCCTGGGATCAGGACACCCACCTTCCTTGTGCTCTTTGCACTGCCACTCAGGCTCGGTGCTGTGTGGGGCTCTTGCTTTACCTCTTTCTAAAATCTTGGTTCCTTCCTGACTGGGCCAGGCTCTCCTGTCAGAGCTGGGCTACCAGTACTGCCGTCACTGCACTGAATTACTGCCCCAAAACGTAGCAGAACAGCATGAAGGAAATCTGATATGGGCTTTATTCAGCCTTACAGTGTTTGGGTGTGAAAAATGCTGCAGACAAATGCATGTTGACGATAAACCCAGAACAATTTCAGAAATTTTTAAGGGTGACTGCTCTCATTATTAAGATTGGGATTTTTTTAAAAAACGACACAGTTTTATCCATGGACTAACTCTTGTGGGTTTGTTTGTTTGGTTGGTTTTTTTTATAGGATCAGAGATGATTAAATCCATGTATTTTCTTAAAGCATCTTTCCAGCTATAAGCACTTTAAGCCAAAATGTTTGGATATATGCAAAGTTTGACTATTGCTCTAGCTTTTTCCTGGGCTTGGGCCAGGCCCCATTGAGGTCTTCATCTTTAACTTTGATGGGCTGGGCTGAGACTTTTTGGGACAGCATGATAATAAGTAACGTAACACAGCCTAGTCCAATACAGCCCACAAAGCATCCAGCATGTGCATTTTCTCCTCCACTTCATGTATATCCAACTCCTCATTGGCAGTAAAGTAAATCCAATGGTAGGATTTGTACTACTGGATGAAAAAAACCCCAACCAGATGTGAGAGTGCCGCTACAGGATAAATTCATTTGGCCAATTCAAATTTTGCCATGAAATTGTGGTGATCAAGCTTGAAGCTAGAACAAGTATTATCTGTCATGTGACATCTGGCATAACCTTCCCGTGTTGTCATGTGGCTAATCTGACAGAACGGCAATCACATGCACGCACTTCATCTAGGTCAGCTTTGTACGTGGGGCAATCTACTTCCGTCGCCATGGTGCCACAGCCTACATTAAAACGGGGAATATAAAAAACCAAGCCAATACAGTAATTAAAAGTATCTTCAGAAATAAATATTTACCTTGATAGGCATAAAGCATTTCCCAATTTCATACAGAAATACATAAAACATGCATAGACCAATATGGCCTACTTCAATGTGTATTCAACATGGTAAATGTAATGAAGAACTTGTGTGAATATAAATACAAAACACAAAAAATAAGCACATACGATTCAACCTGTCAGCAAATTCAACAATGTGAACAAATTCACTGCTATAAACACTCACCCAATATTAGCCTTTTGACATAATTCAAAACAACCCTTTGTCTCAACACATTTACACCAAACAAGGCGCTGAATAAACCTCACAACAGCTTCTGGTACATCCCCACTTCAGTGCATTTTTGGTGGCATGTAAGACACAACAAACTATTTTTAGAACTTTAGTTAGCCAAATATCCTTGTTATGGGCAATCTTGTAGTGTCCTCTAACCTTTATTATATGTTGAAGAGTCCTTTGGTATCCAAAACCAAAAGACTTTGACTATGCAAACAACCACAGCATCTAACCCACATTCAGATAACTCTGGTTGTACAAGTAAACTAGACTTCTGAAAAAAAAGGCAAAGGGTTGCAGCTGATTAGTAAAGGCAATAACAAGGTGTAAAAATACTCTAGCAGGAGTGCAACAAACAGTACGCGAGGTAGACATGTATATATGCAGTAAGTCCTGATTAAAGTAGCACTGTGGCTTTCATTTTTGCATTTTAAACAAAAGGTAGAGTTTTTCGCTTTGAGTTTGTCCACTCAGACCTTGCGTTCTGTCCCTTCTACGCACAACTGTGAGGTCTTCCTTGCAAAATGCTTTTGATGCGGACCCTGAAAGCTGCTCAACTGATGGGTAACATTCCAGAAGAAGCATTCAAATATTTCTTCAGAAAGACGGCTTTTCATGTATGTTACTGCGAATTCCCCTTCACCCCCTCTACCCATCCATCCGACCTCCAAAATTATGACATCCTCTGCTTTTACACCTCCAAATGCAGGACTTGCTCAGTGTTTTGCTCTGCTGTGCAAACACTTGGACAGAGAGGCCTTGGTGATCACGGAATGTTAGAAGTCAAGAGAAGAGTTTTGGTGACGCTTTGTCAGCGAGTGTGACGGAGAAAGGTTCGGGTGATCTTTCCACTAGGATGCTTTCAGGCTTTCCCAGATGCTTTGCCTTTTGTTTGCCCTGTTATATTTCAGCTTCCACCCTTTCTGGAGCTCAGCCTTCAGCTTCGCAGTACGGAAGGAAGCTTTGATACTGTTACCAATGGCTTCCAGCCTGCAAAAATTAGAAACATACATTTATTGTTACAATAATGAAGATGCATCTCCAGCATGCAAAGATTTCAGTTCTTGATTAAATAAGCCTCACTCTAGATTTCTGCCACGGGATCTTCAGTAACTGCTGACTGCTATACCTCTGTCAGAATTACGCTAACTTTGGCCACTTGAAATACTGTCTGCAGAATTTAAGTTAAAATAGTCTTTAAAATATAGATGCCCTAGAATTCCTTAAACAGCACATATCCAATCACGAGGTTTTTAGTGTTATTCTTCTGGGCTGTTTTGTTTCTTTTAGGTAAACCTGACCCTGGTTCAAATGAATGGGTGCATTCATTTTTCAAGTAAGTAAGCAAGCAAGGCCCATTTTCAAGTGATTTTTAAGACTTCCAGGACCTAAGTCTCACTCAAAATCATCAGGCTGCCTGCTCTTGAAAACAGCACTAAAAGGTCTTCTTTTGCATGGGCAAACTTCTCTGTGCCATCCTTTTACACTGGCACATGGCTGAACACTGAATGCTGGAGCTGATCCAACTGTACTAACACCTTCAAAGCTGACCTCCCCTCTGTGGGGCTCTTGGCTGCACCAGGTGCAGTGAACTGTGGAGCGATATTGCTGCCTGCTGTCACTAAACTCATTATTCACAGTCCTCAAAGGGCAAGCCTGATTTTCTCCTGATCTCAAATCTTGAAGTGGCTCAAATATTAATTTAGCCTTCATTTTCCCTTTCCTCAACCTTTTTGTAGTCATTTCCACCACTAACGTCCCATATTAATTTTACACAGGTTTCTCAGGCAGTGCAAGAGATAAGGCAGGTATAAATCTGCCTCCTGCATTCTAAAAAAACAGCCACACCAGCCATAAGATACAATAAATTCAAGATCTGGATAGATCAATAACTTTTTCTGCAGTAAAATGCAGCAAAATACTTAGTAAAAGGCATTCTGACTGAATTTCATTTTAAAATAATTGGGATGTAACATTTTTTATTAGTTAAGCTAGTGCATGAACACACTAAAATGCTCGGCTCAATTTATTTCTGCCAGTATCCAATGACTTCATACTCTCCTGAAGTTTGGTGTATCTTTAAGCCTCTAACTAAATCCGCTTCCTCTAAGCGAATGGAGGCTGCTAGGCAGAGCTCTGCACCCCTGTCCTCACAAGGTAAGAACCCACGGCATGAACAAAAACCCTCAAGATATCCTCACCAATTCTTCTGAAACTGGCAAGCTGCAATCACCAGCTAAGCCCAGGCCGATTTGAAGGCAGGTGAACTGTGCTCTCTATTGCTACTCCGGGGAACTACAACAGGATGAGAAGAAACTCACCGCTTCATTTTCTTGCCCTCAACAAGCTGTCGGCTCATGCACTTGGGTCCGATGCAATTGCCAGCTTCGTTGAGATGACGCGAGGTTTTCTCCACTGTGGACTGAGCCCTGTTAAAAGTGAAAAGACACTGCTGTTAAAACAAATAACCCGCGTTTGCAGCCCACAAGGTGAGCTTCTTCATCAACCCCTTCTCAAAACATGTAATAAGCCATCTTCCTGGGCCAAAACATGGTATGTATCCTAGCAGCACGAGCACTCAGGTAGGAGGCAATGCTTTGGGGAGATTATTCACGCAGCAAGTGCCAAAATGAGTAAGTCTACCACAATCCACCCTTTTTATATGCACGGCCTTTTAAACAGTAGCAACAATAGACGCACCAGAGATCTTTTCCTGTCTGGCAGAAGTTCAGACATTTCTTGTCCTTCTGGCTGGCACATCGGCATCTGCTGCTAGGTTCAGTGAGCATCTCTGGCACCATGTCCTTCAGCGATCTTCTGGATCGAGAAGGGCCTCCGAGACCGTATGGAACAGTCTTCCTATGATCAAAGAGACAACATAAAAGTCATTCAAATAATTCTGTGGCTTCAAAACAGCCTGGTATTTTGGGCAATCTTATCAACAGGTTTCATGGCATGAGTTCTGGGGTTAGGAATGATTCCTTGGTCATAATTTTGATACAAATGCTTCTGATGATCCCGCAACGTATTCATTAGCATGCTTACTGACAAGGCTAATGACGTTTTAATTGTGATTTCATAAGGCTGCTGTGCCTCCTTGTGTGATACAAAGCAATAAAACCTCATCTCTCTGAACTTTGGTAACTGCCAACACTGAAAGAAGCAATAAAAGTGAGGAACAGATCCTCTCCGCTCCGAGGAAAGCCAGCAGCAGAACGAATCACCAACGTCAGTGTTTGCAGTGTTAGGTGAGGCTCTGGCTCACTATGGTTTGGTGAGGAGAGTGTAGAAATGGACACTGCACATCACCCTATCAACACGCTGATTTGCAGCAGAGCAGCATGGCATGAGGTGGCGAGGAGCCACCCGGTGTCAAAATAAGACTTGTGGCCTCCTAGCTTGTCGGAAAGAGAAACGGTCAGGCGAATTCAGGCCGGCAAAATCATACTGTGGGCATTTCGTCTGCTTCTGATTCATAGCCAAAAGCATCCCGCAGCCTTTGCTGAGCAGCGCCCAAAGGAAATACTCCTGCCCAGATTTAAGGAATGCAGGTGTGTTAGGGCTATTAGGAGCTCAAACTAGGTGGTCAAATCCTGCTTTGTGTCTCCCGGTGAACTGTCTCGCTGCTAAACTCTGCAGAAAAGCAGGACGGAGGGGGAAGCAATAGCAGAGACCGTCCAAGTAACTATTTCTTCCTCACCTTCCCGCTTCTGCAGGGAGTTTGTCCTTTGTAAGCCCCCCGCCCCCCCTTTTCCCGACCCAAGGAAGTGCCGAATTCCCCCCCGGCGCACTCACTCGGGGG